TACCCTGCTAAGCTATTCTGTAACTGTCAATTCGAAATTTTGAAAAGAGTTCGAATGCATTCTCGCCCGTCATTGGTTGAGATTTTGCGGACCGCGATCGAGTTCACTTCGATCTTACTACAGTTACAATATTAACTAGCCGACCCTCTTATTTTGACCACTGCGATCAGTCAAAAAAGTATTCGATAGATTATAAATATATCAAGAATAGTGTCATTGTAACAGTAGTTACTAACTACAATATACTAGTTCAATGAGGTTGATTTTAGTAACTTCCTTTATAACAATTGGGATGATGACAGGGTATGAAAATTAAAAATCTAATTAGTCCGTAAATTAGGTAATGGAAAAATATTTATTAGACACGGATTTTTTTATTTTGTCGTATAATAAAACAATATTTAGAAAAAAGGAATCAAAGTTTAGGAGTGGGCGCTAAAACGTCATTTCTACGTATAAAATGTACATAGAAGTGACGTCACGCGACATTTGAAATCAATATATCGTCGAAAGTATTCGTTTCTGTAAGAAAATAAAAAATACGTGTCTAATGATTTAAAATAATCTGCCAGATGGAAATAAAAATAAAAATTAGGCATCTACATTAACATATTGCACTCATACACTCAAGTTTATAATTATAACGTTCACACCTAACCTACCTCAACAAACATAACTGTGCCAAAGGGAACTACAAAACATCGAGAAGCACGTACGATAGCCGTTACTACTGAAGAAATTGTCGTGAAACTAAACGCGTCATACGTAATACATACTTCTACAACACATAATAAATAGTTAATATCACGCCTTTTGTCCCCGAATGGGTAGGCAGAGCTGTACAATATGCCACCGTACAATGTAACACCCACTTTTCACTATTTATGTTATGACTATGAGTCCCATGTCATAGAGGGTGAGCCTATTGCCATATATCGGGCACAACTCCAGAGTCCATGCAACTACTGAGAATTTTTAAAAAACCCAGTTTAACTTTGCCCGACCCGGGAATCGAATTCGAGACCCCATGCACGGCAGTCGCACTTGCGACCACTCGGCCAACGAGGCAGTCTATATACGTATAAATATTATGACTACAAACTACAATGGATGTATATGTACAGTATTGTACAGAGCACCACCACATTAAGCTATCCCAATCTGTCTAATTATTTTATTGAATTTTCAACCTCATGCTTCAATTATTAAGTATAAAAATCAGTCAATTATGTAGTTATACGATCAATCACTTTTGGTGTTGCAATACTACTGAAATGCTGACATTTACAAAGTCTTGATCATGATAAGTCCCATAACCATCTAGTATTAATATAGTGTATTCAATCTGTCTATAAATAAGTATTAATAATCACATTAAAGATGCAGGTTACGCTTTTATACTTTCATAACCTTGACTTGGTCGGTGGCATCTATTACAAATCTCATAATCACATTCGATTCAGATATCAATACGTTCAACAATGATATATTTTAATTTTATTACAAACTAGCTTAATTATCTCCGTTTTTTTCCGCTTAGAATAAGAAACTTTCTTCCAAATAAGTTCCGATCCTGTAGGAATATTGTCATAATCAAATTACTCCCCGTCTTCCCCAATCCCTGAGTCCCCAACAGTCCTCAAATTCCTAATCCCCAAAATGCTGGTAACGCATTTATAATGCCTGGTATTCCAGGTGTCCATGGGCAACGCCAATTGCTTACCATCAAGTGATCCGTCAGTTCATTTAACGGCTTATCCCATAAACAAAAAGTAAGGTTCATAACTGTGAAACAATGTTTAAAATCGATCCAGTAGTTTCAGAGCCTTTTTGCTACAAACAGACAAACAAATATAGTGTTACAATAGATAAAAATGCATGAGGCCTTGTACCCAATTCGCCAAAGATATTGTTTAAAATTAAATCTCTATCAATGCTTACACAATTGTACTGTAATACAATCGAAGTGAAAATATGATAATGAATCGATTATCGTGTTCGATGAATGAGTTCACTCGATTACGAATGATAAGATTAGTAATTGTATCTTTTTGATGGCATTTTAGATAATTTCGAGCATAATTGTCGTAATTAGGTGATGTTGGAAAATAATCAGTTAATATGTGGGCATAGTGTGTGTTTTTTTTTGTGGAAAATGGAGTAAGAGAGCAAGTTACATTTAATTTTAAGTTCCCAAAAAATTTTTTTTTGTGGTAGCCCCAGTTTGTTATTGCGACATAAATGAACATTTGTTAGTAGATTGCAATAATCATATTAAACTGTCAAACACCAAGCGGTCACCGGTGACCGCAACCTATTGTTCTATAATTGTGTCTACAAAACCGGTACTCGACGAGTTAAAATGTTATTCTATAGTGACTGTCCATTTTAATCACCACACAATAGCGAATTACATTACTCACGAAACCACAACTGTAGCCATTATGTGCCATACATCATTCATTTCTTACGACCAATTTGATATTCGCAAAAAGAATATTTTCATTGCATGAAAATGAATTCAAAGTTAAGCAACAAAATGTGTCGAGAATAAAAATATTGTTAATGAAAAGGAAAGTTAATCGAGCATATCGAGTCAGGATCGAAACTGATTCGAGACAACTTGTATTCGAGTCACGAAACCGAAATGGTCCTTCGGTACGGTACGCGTCGCCGAAAGCGTGTTTAACATATCTCATTGGGCGATTTAAAAATCGAAAGTGTCGCGATTGGTCGTTTCGAATTTAGAATGGTATGCGAATCGGTCATCGGGTTGGTGCACCCTTACGTCACTATTAAGTCTTGTTATTATGAAATGCACTTGCGAAAATGGCGCAGCCTCTAGACTGATGAGGCAGGTTTGTTATGCGTGCCTGATTGTGTCGGTTTTGTCGAGGCTCGTTACACAATGTACTATTTATATATGTATACACACAAAGTGTCCATGTATCTGTACATTCATCTTGATCTTTAAATGCTACTTAGGCAAGTTAAAAAGTCATTGCAGTGCTTTTTTCGACAGCCATCTAACGTATAATGGTCAATTTAAAGTTTCCCTTTTACTTCACCTGATTGATTGCGGTCATGCGCATCACTATTCCCTTAGAACTTAACCTGCCGAAAGGGTCAAGAAAACCTCAGGCAGTCTTCACATTACCTCGCTTTCACACTATATCAGGCTTCATAGTCTGGTGTCCCCATTAGTATCCATTACATGAACACTCGTTTATAAGTCTGAATAGCACCTTATCGACCACAACTGCCGACCGGTTTCCCCGCATATTACTGCTTGCTGTTTACAGCAAGTGCAATGAAAGTTATTATGAGATTGACCAAATTGGTGCCGGTGCCGAGTTACTTCTCAGTAAGACTTGCTTGTTGTTATCAGTTATGTGGTTGTGAGAAGATCTTTAGGTAGATTTTTTATGTAGGCCTTGTTAGAAATCTCATCTTAAAATAACTAAGATGTTTGTACCTTTTTAACCAACTAATGAAATGACTCCAAATGTTGTAGTCTCAATAACACGGTCCTCATAAGCCTGTAGCAGTGTATCCTAATCGAAAAATATTGAATTGTCAAGTTACTCCTACTCAAAGTTCAAAATAACAATACTGACAGGTATTACTCTCAATCAACTCATGCACAAATCAACCGCAGCAAACAGTTAATCTTAGTTCTAGAAACAGCTCGTTGATCCATACGATAAAAACTATAACCCAGTCAGTTTGTAAACAGCCTAAAGACACCGTAACGGTCGATGGCATTTCTCAATCCTTCTCATAAAAAAAGTAAACAAGATGTCAATCATTTTGTTAATGGATGTCAAACAAGTATTACTCAATGCTCTTGTGGTTTGTGACCACGTAAGATGGTTATGTCAGAATGGGCATTGCGATCATTTAGTCTTACCTGATGATTCTGGTCTTATTAAACCTCGAAGGACCACGATCCAGTAAAATCCAGAAGGATGTAATCATGGAGTGTTCATCGGACAGTAACATTAACTCGTCGAGTACCGGTTTTGTAGACACAATTATAGAACAATAGGTTGCGGTCACCGGTGACCGCTTGGTGTTTGACAGTTTAAACAGAATAGTCATAACTATTGGTTTCTCATTAACTCGTATATGCGAGCTTTATTCTCACTATAAGTGTCTTCAGAATATTGTATTTACATATCGCTATTCATATATGCGGTAAAATATAGAGCTGTTGTAGCTAGTACTGAGTACATATGCATGGAGCAACAAATATCCCCGTTCTGGCATTTTTAATCTCTTCAGGCATCCTCGTCAGTTGTGGGTAATTTTAACCCTTTTTTAATACCCACTTTCGTACTCGCACATTTCCTCTAATCACCTTTACTAATATGAAACCACAACTTGTTTTTATATGGCTGTCATTAATTTCTTTTGAGAGAAAATTAGTGAATATTCTCCAATTTCTTCATCCTTTTGTGAATAATTTGAACTACAAAGATTTTTAATTTTTTAACAGATTCTCTCTGCCTCATTGGCCGAGTGGTCGCAAGTGCGGCTGTCGGGCAAGAGGTCTCGGGTTCGATGTACGAGACGGGCCAAGTGTTACTGGGTTTTTAAAAAAAATCTCAGTAGTAGCACAGATTATGGAATTGTGCCCGGTATATGGCAATAGGCTCATTACATGCCCTGTTACATGGGACTCATAACATAAATAATTGAAAGTGGGTGATACATTGTACAGTGACATAATCTCCACCTCTGCGTACCCCTTCGGGGATAAAAAGCGTAATGTTATGTTATCTTATGTTTATGTGTTACTCTCTCTCTGATAAACTCGATGCTATTATCTGAAACTCGTCTGCCGAACGTAGAGATAATGGCCAACTCCTCTTTTTGTCAAGGAGGTTAATAGTCCAACAATGGACTCTCACGGATTGTTGATGATGATGATTAAAAACTTCTTATTGAATATGTTTTTGATCTTCCAGTGACTCAAATGTTTTTTGTCCTTCAGGCCCCGAATACGGCACAATGGAAGCTGCGTGGAAAGGAGGTATGGTTGAAGCGGAGCGTCTCTCAGATCTACACCTGAGCGTCCGCGACCGGCTCGTCAATGACGTCATGGCGCAAATCAAGAACTGGCAGAAAGACACCTATCATAAGGTCAGTACTGTTAAAGTCTGTTAGAGAGAATCTTAATAAGAAAATTATATTATAGGCCTTCAACGTGTTTGTGGTAGCTTCTGAGCCAGTCGATATGGACATATTATTATGGATATTGTTTCTTCTATTTTATAAATTAGGTTTATATGCAATCTACTGTGTTAAACAACTTCGTTATAGACATTACTGGGAGGTTTATTTGAATTAAATTACACACAACATGGGGCATAAATTTCTCACAAAAGGACCAAGTTCGTGGTTAATCGCTCGAAGGACCATTTGTGCAACTTCTGCATTTTCACGCGTCATTTGTTCTTTCGCAGCTGCAATTGGCTGTAAATGACATTGTTTTATTATATCTTCATTGCAGATTTATTCTTCAATGTGGGGTATGCATAATCAATAGCATTTTGATCGATTGATTAACGTATAGGTTACCAAATAATTTAAAGCTTGTAAGTTCTATACTTCTATATTGGACAAAATAAATGCTTTAGTACTTAATTACAAAATACTAATTTTGGAAATATCCAACAGTTATTTACTGAATTGTTATTATTATGTTAGTCCAATCTGATACACACATCTGTCTATTTCGGAACACAATCGCATCTACACACTAACAAGTACCAAAAAGGTCTGATTTATAACTGCTACCTACTTTTATTGAATAAGGCCTGATAATGGTCCTTTGTGTGTCAAATATGGATCAAACTTGGCGACAAATTATAGTCCCTTTTAATGCAAGGCCATAGGTTACGAACTCCCATTGCAGTTACAGTTTTGGCTTGGTCCCAAGTAGATAAATGTTGATATTAGTCCCAGTAGCCCAATCTGTATTTTTAGATCAATAGTATATTAAAGTAAGGTAATATTTTATTGCTTACCGATAAGTTATAATAGAACTCTATTTTGAGCTTTTATTTTCTGGCTTTTGTCCAACTAGGATATTAAATAAATTGTAGCTAGTTTTTGGCTACCAGTTTTATACATATTGGGACTTCCATTTACCTAAAACAAGTGATTCTAAAACTACATGTTTAAGGTACCATGTATGAAATATATGTATTTTCCTCATCATAACAAAATAGAATATTACATCAGGAAGTTTGTTCTTAAAGAGCTCTAAATAAATAAGTAATACCTTAGTCCCCGTGGAAGCAATGTAATTAATTATTCAAGGCCCTGATATTACTCTTTCCTAACTTACTAACGAAAACCTATAACGCTTTGCACGAAGTTTTACCTTATTATGTCCTATGCCGCTGATGTAACTGTCTTGTTCGCTAACTTGTATTTTGTGAAAATGCGAGTTCTTGCAATACTGGGATAAAGATGAAAGTATTACAGGGTCTTTTTGATTTATGATTATAAGTAAAAACGATATGAAAGTTGAGGATATTTTATCACTTTGCGTAGATTAGTACCAATTCTATGATCCTTATATTCAAAGTAAGAAAAATAGTTTGGATAAAAAAAATAATTTTGCCAAACTGTAAAACAGTTTGTTGGCAGATGTTTAAAAGGTTTTGTTGGTGTTTTTTCTGTATTGAATAATTATAATCAGGTAGATCATAATAAGTTAGTCCCCAAGTACAAGAGAAATATGTATGTATCACGCCATTTTTCTGACAAATAATTCTACTTCAAATACAATACATTTATTTCCTCATAATTATTTACACCAGCCTAAAACCGATGTACTAACTCTCTAAAATTAACATAACATGCAAGCACTCGCGAATCTCATACAAATCTAGATGAAAACGCCTTTCTAACTAAAGTCCTGGGTTTAAATTGTTAATCAGAGGTAATGTGCTGATTTAATTATCATTGTATCGTCCGGTCGCTTGTTATACATAAAACATTCGCTTCATAATAAATCTTCTTTCTCCGATCCTTTTCTTAACTGTACTTCTTTTTTTTTATCGAAATTGTATTTATTTTGATCGTATGTTAGTGTTTGTGGACTTTAATCATACTGCAAGTATTCTTTAGTGGTGTTTATAAAATTATATAGAGGCGTTGTCAAGTCTTTATTTTCAAAAGAGAGAGTAAACATGATGTAAACAGTAGATGATACACACAAAAAAGAATGTTTGAGTACCACAGATATAATTCCACATAAACAAAATTATTTATACGGAAGAATGGCCATTCATGTAAAGCAAATCCCATGTCACAACTAACGTAGGTACCATTTACTCATCCCACAATACAAACAAACAATTCTAAGTCGTATCACGCCATTTCTTATAATCCATTTAAGCCGTTTCTACTTGTAAGAAGAAATCGAATAATATTAGGCCTAGAACAGAATACTGAGCATGTCCTAATCGTGTAAAAGCAGCATGTTTTAGCTACTTGTCATTCTATTCGAGACGTGATGGTATTGAGAGAAACGATCCACATTATGTACGCAGATACACATACTGATGGACACGATTGCATTATACAACGTTTAAATCCATTTGGTTATGTATTAAAGTCAATACGATTTCTGTGGTCATTGAATTGCCAATCCGTTCATTTCAGACACAGCCAATCTAAGCTTCGTCGTGTATTATTTCTTGGCATGTAATATCTTCATATCTCATGTAATATCTTCTCTCCCGCCTTAGATGAGAGTGTCAGACTATTACTAACTAAAAAAAAACCATCCTGTTCCTACTCCTGCTTTGAGCTGAAGCCCCGTTAAACCGGTAGGTTGTCCTGAGCTTCGGATATCCTTGTACCCTTAGGTTCTAAATATAATCCGTTTCCTTATAACTTAACGTTTCGATGGTTTTATTCATCACCATCAACTTCTGTGTGTCCTTCTCGAATCCTATAAATTGTTTCAATATCGTAGTATTCTAAAATCCCCGTTGGGAAAAATAAAGTCATTGGTAAGTAGTCCTTCGAGACGCATTTATTATGGTGCTTCGATTACATACTTATTTGTTAATACGTTGGAACTGTAGCGCTCTAGTCTTTTGATGGCAAATCGATTAATGTCTTAACACCATGCCACAGCTAGATTTTTGCTCGGGGCTTTACCTGTGATTAATATGTTATACACCCTAGGCCTTAATCGTAAATTTATAAAATCCGTCCATAGTTTTTGAGTTTATCGCGTTCACACAGACGTCAAAAGGGACTTCATTTCCTAATATGTTATGTAAATACGTGTCATGTATGTATATTATTTGCTAGTTCCGTCGATAGTGTCTCCAACCTCTTTATCATTTCTAAGACACACGGGTGACTGTATAAGTTGGATGTTGTTATCTCCTGTTACCGACCACAATCGTCCAGCCATTATGTCAATTGATACTGAACTGTCATCCGCACGTTATTGTGTGGTCACGATTGTGTTTTGTACGCCACTGCGTTTTCTTTTGTAAATAAATGCTAAGATGTTATGCTTTCGAAGTGTTCTAGTTTGGCATCTCTCTTATGCCAGTGGTATTAGCGGTTACTACTTAGGCCTTGTGCGTTTTTTTTAGCTGTGTAGCAAGTACATGGATACTTTCATCATTATCTTGTTTACATCTGCTCCTGTACAAAGACCTCTCCAATAGCACGCCACTAAGCATCTTCGGTTCTGCATTAACTGCTGGCATTTAACAAATAGTATTATTCCATCTAGCTGAAACAGTCCTACCAATAGCCTACCTCAAAACATCCGTCGAAATTCCTCTCACCCTTAATTCAATTGAGACCTGAACAACTGAACACATTTGCCCCTTTCCAGTAGTAAATCAAATAACAAAACAAACGTCTATTTTGCTAAAAGGCCGGCGCACACGCTTGCCCAAAGATGGCGGCTCATGAATTAAACAAGTAGCAACGTTAGTATGTTACAGTCAACTCGCGTTTGTCCGTGACAGACGGACGGACGGAAACGTGCGTTTATGTAATATTCTTGATGTAATCGTTTTGATCATTGTTTATAGATAATCGTGAAAATATTTGAAGAGATTTGCCGAATGAAATGAATACAAACAAATTGTAAACAATTATACTACTGCTGTTTACATTAACATGTATCGAAAGTAATAAACGTAGATAAAACAAAAAAAAAAATATACCAGAATCATGATTGAATGAAGCTGAAACATTAGCTTATTGTCTCTGCCTAATCTAATACATTTACGATATGAAGTATATTTTCTTCTTATTATGACATTTCGCAAACGGTCCTTTAATATTTTGTACATAAAATGCTATTGACCTACAAAAACCTTCCAGAATCAAATTAAGCCTGATGAAAGGTCATAATAATTTCCAAACTCGATACCCCATCAACAGAAGCACCCGGGATTAATTAATTAATCAAAGCCTTTGAGTATTTTAATACATAATGATATTACAGGACCACTAAGTAGAAACGTTAGTAATTATTCAGATATTTTGGGACTCATTTAGGACTGCTTTAGTTTCAAGGGTCTCAATAATTGGTACAAGCAAAGAATTATTGTGAGTTTTCGATTTTTTGCATGATCTGTAGTAGTATTGGTTGCTGCTACTGCTAAGGTTTACCCCTATTACAGAGATACGTAACATTACTGACTAAAAATGGATGGTACATTCAATATGTGCATACTGCTAATAATTGTGCGACATTTTGGGTATGTGTTATGATATGGGAACAATATTAAAAATGTCTGGGCTAACAACAATACATACATTAATTATCTATATTAGAAACAAAGTGCAATACATTAACACAAGTATAAGAAGACATAATCTTGGTGTCAATGGGTGCCAAGGGCAAAACTGAATAATAAATGTTTAAAGCTGTTATAAGACTTAGTACTGAGGTGTGAATACATTTATTGTAGTCAATATAACATGATGATGAAGATTTAACATAAACAGACAATATCAACAGGTCATAACAATCTACTGCTGAAATAGTGAGTATCTTTCTAATAAGAGGGTTTACCACGATCTTTACGCTTAGCAGGCGGCCCACGGATAAAACCTGTTTTAACAGATTCAGATTTATCAGAGAACGACGAGGAGGAAATGAACCCTTAAAACAACCATGAGAAGAATTGGGATGATGACCGCCGTCACCACACGACACTTAAATACAAACAAGACTTTAATCTAAATATTTATAAACATGTTAATATGCCGATCAATCTTCTTCAAACCATGTTTTCAATAATGTACCACGAAGGATGGTAATGAACAATCAAGGGGAGGTAACTTCACCCTAAACATCAGAATTCATGAATGTAGATTAGTTTATTAGAGCGCCATCCAAAAGGATTGATGCAAGTTCGGCCTAACCAGATAATAACCTTATTTGGATAGATGGATTGAATTTGATTTAAACCCTTATGTAATGCATATGATTTGTGAAAAGGCGAAGTATTAGTAATTGAGAGTTCTTGTGGTTTGATTCTGTCATTATTATCAGTAAATAGCCTGTGACAGTTCACTGCTAGACTAAGGCTGTACATGAAAGGGCACGCCATATTCTCCACGCTGCTTAGCAGGAGGATTGAAGAGACTATCGTCGTTTAAGATGTTCAGGTTTATCAGAGAGCGCTGCTGCCTGGATTCTATCAAATGCGCAGTCCTGTACTACTGAAATTAACTTTACTTTAATTAAGCTGTACTGCTGGATCCATTTCTGTATGTGACAGAGACCCCTTACAACTGATATCAAAAACCGATATTAATTGTACATTCCAAAGATTTTGACCATTACCTGCTTTTTACGATGCTCCTGAAAAGAGTAGTGATGGTGACAAAATGTTTTTTACTCTTTTTATGATGCAATCGGCGTCGCCCAAGGACACCCGAAACACTAGAGGCGTTACAAGTGCGTTACCGGCCTTTTGGGGATTAAGAATTTGAAGATTGTTGGGGTTTCATAGAATGGGAAGATTGAGGATTACTCTGCGATTATCACACGGCATTCCATTTCTATTAATATTAGGTATCTTTAACTATTTTCCAGTGTGCTCCATCCTTTATCAGAAGACGTTCATGGTCGTCTATTGTTTGCTAAAGCACTGAGCGTTACCCATCGCGTTACGTCTATATCTATAAGATCTTTTGAATAAAACTGCTTTATTACCTTCGCGCCCTCGACCCGCAGTCTTTAATTGGTGTCTTAGTGTACAAGTCTTTTTGTACGAAAGGTTTGGATTATTATGATTAAGCAGATATAATAATCTTACATAGTTCAGGAGCATAATAATATGGTACCAGTTTGTCCTTCTCGGAATTGCCCTCAAATCACTTGAATGCATCTGTAGTGTGTACAGGTTTTCAATTTTTATAATGTGTTCTAACTATAGGTCCTTTTGGGCACCCCAACAATACTTACTCTACTTACAAACAGGCAACATTGAAATTTCTATCATGTAGAACGGCCCATAGAGGTACAAAGAGAAATGCTTGAATATATATCAGATTTACTTTTTGAAACCCTTTTCATTAAAATTTATAAACAAACAAACTCAGAAAGGACCAAACAACTCCAACCACTAATTCAATGTGTGAATCAAGCCATTTAATTGTTTGTTACAAGAACAAAAGGCAGAACATACTACACTCACCCATATATCTTGACCTCCTCATGTATACAGAATATAAACGATTCTGGATCAACTTATACTGGAATTGTATAACTTGATTTGCTTCCACACATGTGACATTTACGGTCCTAAATAATTCCTGAACAAAATGTACCTTCGTGAATGTTGGATGATGTTTGATCTGTTTTTTGTAATTATTCCGCTTTTGTGGCGAATGAACTCCTATTCATCTAAAGTTTGGTATTAGGTCATGTTTGGTCTATGATAATTATATTTGTAACCTTTTATTTCTGATGTGTATGTATGTGTATGTATAGATGACTAAAAGCATAATCTTTAAACTAAAGATAGGCTCGTGACTATATAAAATTCGGAGGACTCTTGGTTGTTACCATTGTGTGTTTGTGTGTGTGTATGTGTGTGACACAAAATATAAGAATGTGATAAAATAAGAATACGGCAGAAATAAAAAATGAATATTTTCTTATCTAAGTACTTGCTTGATAAAATACTAATAAAATTGTGAACTATTTTATAAGAATTATTTCTGTTTTTACTCGTATATTCAAGTTGGTCCTTCTATTGTAAACATGGTCCTTTGAGCCGAAACCCACATGGACACCCACGGCCTAACATAACGCTAGTAGACACGTAGGACTAGCCATATTAGTTTTAATCATATAAACCTTGATGGAATACATATCACTAATCACTGTAATATATTTGAATAACGTAAGACAAAGGTGGGGATTATGGACAGGTCCTTATTGGGGATTTTTTATTGTATTTTTTATAATAACGTAGTGAATTTTTACAGTTATGTTAGTAGGATAATATTGCCGTATGAACCAAAAGTATAGCTCACTTCACATGCCTTTATCGACTTTAACTGTAGAGAAATAAGGGCTTATGCTGTATGTGACGAATTAAAATGCACTGCTGCATCATAGTTTATAATAATAATAATAATACCAATTTATTTCAGATAATAAAATCCATAAAATTACATTTAAAACGAATTCAGGTTCAGAATTTTATAAATAAATTAAAAATTAAAAAATTGTCTCTATAGCAAGTATCATAATAAATTAAAAATAATAAAAATAATAATCAATTCGTTCATACATCAAATAATCAAAATAATAAATTACACAAACACACAAAGAACATACATAGTCAATAGTCCATTTCAATTGTAAATAGTCAATTAATTATAAGTAGTCAGTTTCAATTATAAATAGTCAATACAATCCCAATATAAGTCAATAATAATATAAGTCAATAAAAATACTAGTCAATAGATAATAATACAAGTAAATAATAT